TATATTATATAATTTAAATTATTTATACATGCCAAGTACTGCTGATATACACAACTATACCAAGGTGACCATCGACTGTTAGTATAATTCTTAGTAACATAATATTTTAAAATTGTGACTAGAATTTATACTACTAATTGATGGTTTAATCACACGGCTACTATATTTATATATATATAACTGTTATATTTTATTTGATAAAAATTGTTATTTTTCTAGGTACCAATAAGTTTATCATTAAAATCAACTATGATTCATTAATTTTAATTTTTTTTAAAATTTTTAAATTTGTGCTTGCATTCACGCACCTGTATATACTTGTACTCATACGCATTTATATTATTTCACATTACCTATGTGCACTTTAGTATTTTAACTTTTTTAAATCGTCATACCTTTTAATTTTTAATTTTTGTAAATGTATGTATTAATCATGGTAATATGAATATGTGATTATAATTAATCAAGTCGTTCATTAATTATGCAGCTATGATAGTGACGTATCATCCGGATAGCTAAATATCTTTTGCTAGTGAATTTTGGTAATTGTAATGTATTCTGCTAAAGATGTTTACTATTCTAAGGGTACATCACATAAACAACGAATTGAATCCAGAGTGCTATATATCGCATGAGTTTGTGAAATGTCTTGTCAATTCTAGGAACTACGGAAATACAGATTTATCAGGAACCGACGATTTATAATATTAATATATTCCAAGTAATTTATCTATTATCCTGGAATGTGAGAAGACCGTCTACATGTAATCTGCAGGGTTTAGTATTCTTTGGGATTTAATAGAGCTGGTTAAAATTTCGTGTACCAGCTATATTATATTTCAAAATACTAGACTTTGAAAAACCTACGTATTTGTATTTATTATTTATGGAAGACTCCTATTGGTAACACATACGTCTTTAGTATTTTTTCAGTAACAATCTAAAGATGTTTTTGTTACCTACGGAATTTCATAAGAAAACGTCCATATCATCTGTATTTTATTTTTATTTTTGTTCGCTGTAATATTAATTTAAATAGAATCTGAGTCGTTATAAAAATTTAAAAATTACTTTTGTGCAGTGTAAATATTTTTTAATTACGACTCATTATGTATATGCATAAGTGCAATTCGGAGGATACTTGGATGTAAAGGTGGAGACTTTGAGACTGTCTCTCCATTAAAAAAAAAAGCTACTCGTAAATAATTATTATTTGAAAATGTATAGAAATATTTTTATTTTTATTGAAAATATATTATAGCGTTTTATATATTTTTTATTATAAATTGAAGGCCACAAAGTATAAAACCTATAAATAGTTATTTCGATGGAAACACTATTTTAGTAATTTCGACAATAGTCGCCGTTTCATTGAAACTGACGTCCAACAGGTTCAATCATAACATGTAATGGTTTGGCATGTTAGACGGAGGAGGCCTGGGAGAATAATTCGCATATTATAGACTATTGAAACTGGGTTCACGACAATAATTTTCGTACCATCGCGTCGTTATTAGTCGCTGTACACCGTCATCTGCGAATTCGCAGATAAAAAAAATTGCAGAATTTAATTAGTTTATAAAAAAGTTTACAATTAAATTAAGTTAAAAATATCAACTAAATATTAAATTAAGTATTGAGTATTATTAATTTTTCAATAAAACGGTTTTTCTTGTTCGTTATTGTATGGAGTTTATGTTAAATAATTTAAGTCTCCCCAGAATATTTTTTCTACGAGCCGCTACTGCTTGGATGTTGTTACGGACATACGCAGTGTCGTACATTCAATCTTACTCTGGGAGGGGGAGGGGTTAACAAAAATAATCGTTATCTTTTTTTTTTTGTTGCACAGATAAATAAGATAAATAACTGCTATAAATAGGTATTATTTTATACAACTTTTTTACCAATTTACAGTTTACTTTTACATTACAGTAAACTAATAGCTATTGGAATATAAAAACAGAATAGTTAACAACACTTTTCAAACACCTATCAATATAATTATTTAATTATCATAATATTTGTATAATTGTATATTTTAAGTTCAAAGCGTAATAATGAAACTACGAATATAATACACGTCATCAATAATAAAACAATTTTCTTTTTTTTTTTGGCCCTGGGGGGGGGTTTGAACCCGGATATAAAATTTGAAGACTGATCATTTTATGAAACATTTAAATTTCGAAATTCTTATATTTATTAAATATTTTAGTTGTTGAATTATATAGGCTGCGGGTGTCTATAACCATAAAGGAACATGAAAAATATGGTTCAGCACCCCTAGTTAATTCATTAAAATTGCGCCCCTGTGTGTACGTATGTTAAGTATTAGCATTCAAATAAACATGTTTAAATTATATTTATGGAATTTTGTTTATTGTATGAAAAATACTAAAGAATTCAATGATAAAATCACTAAATTTAAAAAGAAAATATTACTAACTCATATTAATAAATTTAATTTGCTATTGTTTTTAGAAATAATAAACCACTTATCATACTTAAATGCTATATTAAAAATAGAAGTGTCCATACTCTATGTCGTTAACAAAGTATAAATGTTTTGATTAATATATATATTAATTTAATGCCAACGGGATATAAATAATATATTTTATAGATATATATTTAAAAAATTTAATACAATATTTGGCTTTAGTTACCTTGCAAAAGTCAATATTAAAATTAAAAGTGGATAGCTTTAGTTTAAAATTATTCTCAATATTCAATTTATTTTTAAATTAATTTTTCTAAAAACTTTATGTTAAAATACTCATTCACATAGTTTTCTGAAAGCCCAATATATGAACGTTATATTGTTTGATAGTCTTGTCGAACAGTTACCCAGAAAAGAACCAATAATATGATTTTAAATATTTATCAAATTATCTAATGTGAACAGTGGATCTTTAAAAAAATGGTGGTTCAAATAATTTTAGTATTGAAACTATCATCTCTCTTATCCTCTCCACTCACTTAATAAGTAGGTAATAAAATAATAAAAAAAAATTAAAAAAGATTGTCAAATTAAAAAATATTTATAACAGTTGCCTTATTTAGAAAAATAATTTATTATAGAAACAATCGGTAAAGGAGTAAAATTAATTTGTTTTTTTCATTTTTATTTTAGATAATCCGACGTGTCTCTGCAAATTTATATTAAGGCTTTCTTTAATTTTCTTACACTTATGATACACGGGAATAATAAAAAAAAAAAAAGGTTGAATTATCTAGTGTGAAATCTAAAACATACGTCGGTCTTCAAAAGTTCGAGCAGGTACATCAATGTACCCACTTTTCTAAGTTTCAGAATAAATTAAGCAAAAAATAAATATTGTCCAAGCTAAATGTATCTTATTAAAATAAAATAAATTGTTTACGTGCCTATCTATATTATTTATATTTACTGGTTACACATAAAAGGATACGAAAGCGCGAGTCCACGTTATTATCAATACAATAATTATTGTCCAAAGATCAAAATAGAACACATGACACACGCATTCACTATTCATATGAATATTATTCTGAGTTAAAATATTCTATACCTATTGGTATGTTACACATGCTAATGGTAATAGAAATATTATTGAATAAATTATGAATAATACACACTTATACATTATTTACGATAAACCTATTAAATATTTCGGTGAAATACATAAGCGCCAAGATGAGATAAGAAAAAAAAAGTCGTATCGTACAAAAGCGCCAAAATCATAGGTACCTGTGAGCCTCGGTTAAATAACAGATATTAATTTTGACTGAAATTCCGGATAATGAGAATATACGAACTCCAAATGCAGCTGAATCATATCATCGAAATTTAAAAGACCAATTTTATATGGCTCATTTTTACGTTTATATAGTAATTGATGTACTATTAAAATTACAAAGCGAAACATATTTATTTATGAACTCTCCTCATATCAATAAATTAAAGATATCTCACGAAGAAATAATTGTTCAAGGAAGAATTACTAGGATGGTGAAATAAATCGTACAGAATACGTGAAAAGAGTGGGATTAAAAAATCAACCAATTTATACATTATAATATTATATAATTTTATATTATAATTTATTATCGACATTTTTTTTATAAAATAGAAACTGATTTATTAATTTATTATATTTATATTGATTTGCATGTGTATTATAATTTATTATCGACATAATAATATTAATATAATTTTTGTAAGATATAGCAATTTTTAAATAACTGCCTACTTATATAAAATATTAATTTTGGCTCTTATGTCATATATTGGGTAAAACATGTATACAATATTATTGGCGCTTATGTCATACAGCCTAAATGTTTTTATGTCTCTTAGATACATTATCGACACTTTTTATATTTAAAAATTAATGATATTATGTGGGATAATCATTTTTAGTTATAATTGGTTGAGGATTGATTTTAACAATATTAAGATGTAGATACACTCATAGCTATAACTTCTTTTTAAAACCTAGGTTTTTTTTTTTTGCTTAGATAGGTAAAATTATCAAACCGTTTATATATTTGAAGAAAATATTGATACTATAAAATATAAGCATGAATTGTTTTATTTTGTAGTAATAAATATTAATTGGTGATATTGTTTCTGCACAATGAGCATTTTTTTTTATTATATTACATAAAATACCTAGTTTGTTATATAAGACTATTAATGGAAACCAAATTATGGTAATTATTAGTAATTTTTTTAATTTTATTATTCTTGTATGATGTTTTAAATTATCCTAAAATCAATCAGTATAGAAAACAATTAATTAGTTAAATACCTATCTAATTTGTTTTATGAACAGATAAATATTTATTTTAATAGATATATTGTATTATATAAAATTAAATCAATAGAATATAAAATCACATTTGTTTAAACCATAAAATTAATTTTTTTTTTCATTTTTCCAAAATACATAATTACATCTGTTCAAACTATATATTTTATTAAATATTATAATTTTGATTATATGATTATTAAATTTTAATACAGATTCATTTTTATTTTTATTAAAATAAAGTAAATTACAACTAAGCATTGTTTAAAATACTGTTAAAATGGTTAGTCAGATTTCGATTTCCTTAGTAGTTTTACTTCTTTCTGGTCTGAAATATCATGCAACTGCACCGACCGCATTCCCAGATGACTCACCTATAGATAACTTACCTGAAGATGAAGAAAATACTTGTGTATAATATTTTATTCATTATTATTATTAATATGCAAAATTGAACTAAATATGTTTACTATAAGTAATTCTTACCTATTTTAATAAAATATAATAAATTAAATAAAAATTAATAAAAATATATTATAAAATAAATATGTAGTCAGTACTGTCTAGCCTAGTTCTAGTTCTTGTACCAATTCTAATTATTCTTTTATAAATATTTATAGTATATGCACTATTTCCAAGCTAGATTTTCATACTAATATATGTTTCGTTTTAGTTTTATAAGCTTAAAAACTTTATTTTTTTTGTTGGGATTTTCTGTGAAATTATCATTTTATTATTATGGTTAGTTTACCTTGAACTAACCTTTATTTTTTGTGTGATTCATCTTATTATGAATTCCATTACAACAAGTTATTTTGATATTAATTAACAGCTATAGGCAATATGAAAAATGTTGGGATAAAAATATGTTTCTGATAAATTAATAAGACCTAATTAATAATTAATAATATATTCATCACCCAGTTCAAAATTTAAAAAAAAAATTGAATTTCTTAATCTTTATAAATGTTTTATAGATATGTGGCATGTGGTATGCTGTTATGGCAACTGGTACTAGCAATGACGATCCTTGCAATATTTTTACAAGTACTGTTTTGTGATAAATTTAAATATAATATTTACTCTTTACATTATTTTAATTTTACAAAGTTTATTAAGCTGTAAATTATATTGTCATACATTTAAAGTTATTAGCAGTGCTTTAAAGAATACTTTTAAAAAGTATTTGAGTAATTAGTCAAACACATTTTTTTTCAAGTAACTGTATATTATTTTCAAATACTACTCGAATACTTTAAAAAAGTATTTGGAATACTTTCCAAATACTTTGGTTTTTTAAAGTAGGTTTTTAATTAATGTAATATAGACACATAATAGGTTTATAATAATTTTTATTTTATTTAGTTGTTAAATAAATGTTTATTACATTTTAAAAACATAATGATTTCAAAATTTTTATTAGCCATAGAGCTTCTTTTTTTGGTCATGGTTACTCCACCCACACTAAATACGGTTAACACAAAAATACAGAATATTTAATAAAGCTATTATTCAGTTATCATTGTATTTGGCAATAATATTTTTCAACCAAATATTTTTAATAAAAATAAAATATTCGAAAAAAAACAAAGTATTCAATAAAAATAAGTACTTAATAGAAAAAAAAGTATTTAAAATACCATTGAAAATACTTT